TGAAGAGGACAGAAAAGGGAAAAACAGAAAGTAACTTCACAGTGAAGAAATCGGACAAGTATTACCTTAGCCAGGGTAGTTATGGTCAACATCAAGTCACAGATCATAGCAGCACATACCTTTGACATGTTATGAAAAAGACACTTTTCCTTTGCAATCTTCTCCCCCAACTGTATCCTGAGAAAAACGCCAATAGATTCTAGTCAGGGACACCTTGAAAAATAATCTCATCCACATTCCTGCAGCAAGGGGAACCTAAAGAGATCAATCATATGATTTGTAAGATGAAATAGCAAAACAGACAAAAATCTTAGGAAAGCCAGATAACCTATAAAAGTTAGTTAATAATATATTTTAGTTAATTAATTATAAGTGAAGTGGCAAAACTAACTCCATATTGTTCTGACTTTTGCTTTACCCTGTTTTTTTTTGCCCAGCCATTCCCATTGCAACCAGCCATGCAGAATGTCTCATATAGGTAGTTTCAGGAGTACAACTCTTCTACAATGCTGGGAAACTTACAAGTAGCCAGGTAGCATATCCAGAAATCACATCCTCCCTCCCAGCTATATCTGCATCTCCATGGAGCCCATTGTTTCTACAATTCTGGAAACTTGATTTTTCCTTATCAAAACTTTTTGTTACTTGAAAACCTCTTTGTTAACTGACCTGGCCCTGGTCTGGTGTAACCATGGTGATCTGATGTAATTATGGTTATCGGCTTTATACCTGGCTTGATATAACTGTGGTTTTAAGCTTTATAAACCCTGCCCTGCTTCTCCCTGGGGTTGAGAGTTCTTTTGGGCGTTAGCCCCCTTTCTGACCACTGGCTATTAATAAAGGAATCTTGATTTGACCCAACAAACTATATAGTATTTTTCACTTGGTATTACATTTGAATGTCCCCATGAGATCACCACCCAGGGGCTCAGCCTCACCCCAGATCTCCCCAGTTTGATGAATTGTTACAGAGAGGTACCCCCTGAGACATTTCAGGGCCCCATGACTCTCTCATCAGAGCCAGAGTCCCAAAATGACTGATTCAAACCAAAACTGATTGAGCCCTTTTGGTCCTCCTAGGAGGTAAGTTCTGTTATTTCTGGTTTGGAGCTCCATTCTGGTCTGGTCTGGTCTGGTCTGGTCTGGTCTGGTCTGGTATTGAGTAATGGGAGTGTGAACTTCAGGAAAAACTCACCCTGCCCCCCACCGACCTTTCTCTATAGTTATGACCTGGCTGAGAAAGTCATCTGGTAAACTGGTGCACCATGGAAACTGGTTACTCTGGCCTCTGTTCATGTCTGTTTTGTGTATATGAATAATTGTATGACTGAATGAGTGATGGGGCAGTCAGACAAAGTGAGTTCTGCTCTGGACAGCACCTGTTCAGAAGGTCCTGTCTTTTGTCTTTCTTATTGTGGAATGAGAGTACGTCCTTCTTTATTTCAACTGCTGCCCTGCAACTTTCCTTCCTTCCTGATTCTCCTTGAGGACAGGGGCTCCTGTCTGCCCTCTGAGATTGGCAGGTCTGGTAAACCCTGTGTCCTGGTTCTCTCTCTCTCTCTCTCTCTCTCTCTCTCTCTCTCTCTCTCCTCCCTCCCTCCCTCTCTCCCTCATCCCTCCCTCCTCTTTCTCTCCTTCGCTTGCTTGCTGCAGGCTCTCCTCTGGCTGACTGTTCCTAAAGAAATCCTGTTCTACTCTTCTTTATTACTAAAAAGGAAAAAAGAGGTCCACTCACTTTTTGTCAGTTCAGGATATCGACTGATCCTCCCCCTCCTTCCTCAGACATACACCTCAGGAGCCGGAAGGGAGGTGGAAATATTAAGAAAGGATGTATTTGGGACCCACATATAAAGGGACAGAATATGATATGGGAAAGGTCTCAGGTTTTAAAGTTTTAATGTTGTCTACAAAGCAAAAACAAAAATAATAGTAATTTTGTCTAAAATTAAGATGCCTGATTGTACCAGAACATAAAGGGAGACAGGAAAAGTCCAACTCAAGAACATACAGTAAATTGTAAAAGGCCAGAGAAAATGTAAATTTTATTTGTTTTAATTTTGGTTAGAGTTCTTCATAAAAGAAAAAAAGAGGGGCTGGAGAGATGGCTCAGTGGTTAAGAGCACTGACTGCTCTTACAGAGGACCCAGCTGGGTTCGATTCCCAACACCCACATGGTGGCTATGAACCGTCCTTAACTCCAGTTCCAGGAGAATCCGAAACCCTCTTTTGACCTCTGTGGCACTGCATGACATGGGTACACTCACACATATGAAGGCAATACACTCATACACATAAAATAAAAATAATAAAATATTTTTTAAAAAGAATAATCCTTTACTACAAAATGTTTCAGTTTAAAATGAGATTATATTCTTTAAAGGAGGAGGCCTAATGCTCTGTGCTTCCCAGGTTTATAACAGTGACTAATTCAGGACAGTGTTAAACATTACATGAAACATCTGCCAGTGGAAAATAAAATTTTTTTAAAGACTGTAAGTAAATCTCCTCAGGATGAGGCAAAGAACACATTCCTACCTTCCTATACACCCCCCCCAATCTTCTGATGGGGGTGGGGGTGGACGTTCCACCTGTCCTTTGTCAGAGGTTCTCACCTCCTGGAGCTGCTGGCCTGATCAGGACTGGGTAGACAGATCTGAAAAGCCATGAAATACAGGGATAACATGGCAGACTTCAGACCACCCTTGTGGTCGCTTCCCTTCCATCTTGCCAGTTTTCCCAGTCTTCCTCACACTTCCCATAGATGGGTCTGGGGAATATTAAGATGAAAAAGCAACCCTGATATTGAGTAAATTCCTCCCCTGAGGAAAAGAGGGCGTGGGTCTAGAGACCCAGAGAGAAGCAGAGCACACTGGGAAAAAGGAGGAGGAGTTGGTGCCATTTTGGGAACAGTGAACAGCAAACGAGTAGACAAGCCAGGTTGCCGTGGACCCCGTGAGGCACTGTGGACCCCAAGGGGCGCTGAGGACCTTGTGAGGACCCCATGGACCCCCGTATAGACCTCAGGGATCGAAATGGTGTGTGGATAGCTGGTGAACTTCCAGCAGGGCATGGGGAGGATCTCAAAGCTTAGTCACAATGAAGATGGACTACGAGAGCATATGCTTTGTAAGTCACTCTTTAGCCCTGGGGCCTCAGAAGGCCTGGGCTCCGGTCTCTCAAGAAGGGGGAGCAGAAAATATAGTGCAACACCTGAGTAATTACTAATGCTGATGGGATATAGGGTTGCTGGAGTTGAGACTGGCTCCCTGGGAACTGAAGCTGTTTTCCCCTTCCATGGGCTGGAGCTGTGGTCTCAACCTGCGAACCTAGAGCTGTGGTTTCTTTTTTGTGAACCTGGAGCTGTAGTCCCCTCCTGTGAGCTGGAGCTGTGGTCCCTTCCTGAGACAGAGTTATGGTCCCTCCTCATGAGTTAGGCCTCCAGGTCCCCTCCTGTGAGCTAGAGCTGTGGTTCCCATAAGCCTGAAACTGTGGTCCCCTCTTCTGAACTGGAGCTTTGGTCCCTTCCTGTGAATGAGTTGTGATCTCTTCCCGCATACTATTATGATCGCCTTTAAACTAAACTCTTGAAAATCCAAGTCATCTGTGGTGACTCGAAGCACAGCAGTGATAACTGGGTGTGACCGATGCAGTGACAGACCATTGACAAGCCAGAGAGAACTTGCAGAATGATCATGTTCACTACCTTGACCATGGTGATGTTTACCTTGATCATGAGTATCTGCAAAACATACCAAACTGACACTTAAATAAGGGCATTATACAGAGTGCCTATCAAATTTCAATGAAGCTGTTCAGCATGCTAATGGAATCATGCAGGGGGCCACAAGAGCAGAGTAGTTCCTTTGTAAAAGACACTGTTCCGAAAGAAAGGGTGCAATTCAAAGATATCAAGATCAGGGCTTTTTGTTTGTTTTGACTGTGAATGATACTTTAGTCATTTGTTTACAATTGGAACTGGAAATTCAAAATTAACATCCCTGCCTGTGAGCTTCTTAAACACGTTTCAACCCTGTGCTCCAAGTCGTTCTGCTGTCTTTTGTCTAAATGAACCCAGAGCTGGCTGCCATCCAGTTCCACACAGAACCTCTTGACCACAATTTCACTTGGGAAGACCAAGTCCTCAAGAGTGGCATCATTGGCCCTGCAGATGGCTCAGCAGTTAAGAACAACAGCTGTTCTTGCACAAGACCTTGGTTTGAACCCTAGCACCCTCTTCGGTCCTCCTTGGTTTGAATCCGACACCCTCTTCTGTCTTCCAAAGGCACTGCATGACACAGGTGCACTTTGAGGACCACGTTCATCTCCAGCCATTGGGCTGCAAGATCTTGGCTCTTAAGCTGAACATCTTTGGGGGATGCGGGGGGATGCGCCAGCTTAACAGAGAAGATCAGAGCTTTTTGAAGTGCTGCTCTGAGAGCTGTCCCTGGTCCATACTGACTTAAGGAATTTGTATGAGAGGAAATCGATAAATGCACTATTTACTTGAGAAGATACATTTTCCTTGCCCAAAATTTCTTGAAGAAGTATACTAAAGAACATTTTGGCTCAAGCTTTTTTTTGGCG